TGGGTGTGTATAATTAATTGCAGGGCTGGGGAATGGGGAGATGGAGGGGACATAGAATTACTTAATTAGATTTGGGGGGTTGGGGAGAAGCTAGAATCATGGAAATGTAGGGCTGGAAGGGACCTCAATAAGTCATCTAGTCCAGGACCAAGTATACGTAAACCATCCCTGAAAGCTGTTTGTATAACTGGTTCTTAAATAGACTTTGTCTGTTGCTGGTGATATTATTGGGCCCCCGAAGCTCTTGGTGACCACATAATGGCCAACTGTATAGCAGCATTTTATACAAATGTATGTAATTTGATCTCAGTTGGATCCTTTCAATGAGAGCCAAAATCACCTTATTCTATACATTTGGGAGAGTTACAACACTGTAATTGTCACATTCCCCCTGGAGGTGGGCAGAGGGAGTGTAAAAATCAAAAGGAACCAAAAACTGATATTAACTTTTCTTCTTTGTCATGTTTTTTGGGCCAATCTCATCATTTTGAAGGGATGCGACTCATGATTTTTGGACTCCTGGGGTTGACAATACTGAATCTGCTTTGGCCAGGAGTTGAACTAGATGACAGAACAGGTCTTTCCCATTTCTAGAGCCTAGGAATGTGCCACTTCTCATATGAACTACTGAAGGTGATTACTATCAGGTCTGGAGTTGTTTGCCAAAGTTGTGAAATGCTTATCTGCTCTGAGAATAAGTGGATGAGCTCCCAAAATTAAGGAGAAAGTACATAGGGCAAGTGAGAAGTTAAAATTTGCAAAATCAAGGAAATGAGGAAGTGCCAAACAAAAGGTCAGAAGTCTAGCAAAAGTTTAAATGTAAACGGAAGAGAATTGTTCTCACACTGTTGGTCTACTCACCCCAAGATACCATTATTTTCCTCAGTTAAACAGTTGTATGTTATACAAGGATTAAAGTTTTATTTTTCACTGAACTGAGAGTTACGTCAGCATTAATAATGCCAAAGCTGTCACAATAGTCACCAACCCATCAAAATAGCACCTTTAAACAATCTAATTGTTGATTTTTTAAAAAAAATATTTGAAGACAAAGATTTAAATCCACAAAGAAACTATTGTCTTATTTTCAAGTAGCTGAGGTTACCATAGATAAGAATTTTACTGATGAAAATAATACTGATGTATTGTATCACTAGTGGAATCTATCCCTTACTATCAATCCATTCAGTGCTCTATAGCACATTCCAGTACTGTGCAGATACTGTGCAAGATTCTCTACACAGAGCTCTCCAGCTGAATCCCCACATGGGGAATTAGGGAACCAGAGCCATTGAGGTGAGTCCAAATCCTTAGATTTAAATTGAAAATTCCCTGTGAAACACAAAGGGATTCAGGTGAGAGATTCCAGTTTTGGCCTGTCCCTACTGATGACAAGCTAGTTTTAACACCAGCTTTCCAGAGAAGCAGCTTTAGCCCTTCTTCAGTGGCTGGTTTTCTTCCCTTTTGCACGCAGTCCTGTAAATTACCCCACATCACACCTGTGTGGTGTTTGTTTTATTTTGCTTTAACTAAAACAAGTAATAATTAGAGCAGTAAGATAATGAGATGGAAAATTGGTTAATATGCCAGCAAGCCTGTATCCCATTAGAACTGGAATTCCATTTCTGCTCATTTTGGCTTATGTTCAACATCCTTTGATTTTGCAAGACTATGTGGCTCTTGCTTATTCGTCTGCTTATGAATAAAGCTGCACTGTAGATTCCACAGGAATAAATTCATGCAGTTACTTTATGGTCAGCAAAAAGCATTTCTATTCTATGCCTACAAATGTTTTTGGTTGCCTGTGGAAAGGCCTCTGATTTAGTGAATGGAAACAGGATCCTTTTCTTTCCTTCTCATTGGCAGAAACATGTAGTTAATATTTTTCAGCTGTTCACAAGAGAACTTAAGGGCTTGTCTACACACAGAAGTTGCACCGATTTAACTTTAAATCAGTTCCCTTGTGTGTAGGGAGATCACTTGTCTGGCTTTGAGCCAGACAGTCCTCTTTTGGGTGGTTTGTCCTGCGCCAGGCACTGGAACAAAACTGGATGTGGTTTTCTCTGGTATTGCATGGGGGACACCATTTTTAAGAGCCTGCTGCTCTACTCCCTCTGGCATGACCTTGAACATACCATGTGTGCGAGGTAACACTGGTGGGAGGACATGCATCTAAACATGGTGCCCACCATGCAGCATGACCTCACGCACCATGTGTTTGAGGTCACACTAGTGGGACAGAGCAGGATGCACTTAAAGATGGCACCCTCCATGTGGCATGACCTCACATGCACTGTACATGTGAGGTCACACCAGTGGGGGCACTTTTGTATGGCATAACCTCACATGCACTGTTTGTGGAAGGTGACACCAGTGTGGGGGAGGGTCACGCCATTCTTGGAAGTCCTGGAACCTCCAGTATCCCAGGAACCTGCGAGTGGCTACCCTACTTGTGCGTATGTATTATACAATCTTGACTGACCTGATCACATACTATATTTTTCATAGGACTCCTGCCTCATTTGGAGCACAAGATAGATGGTGCTCTGGATAGTGAAGTAGGCTATTGTCTATACAATCCTGCCCCATTTGTTGCAGAAGCTGAAAGGTGTGTAGTGAACGAGACAAGGGACTGCAGGAAGAGAAAAAGATGGTCCCAAAGTGAATATTGTTGAATTCCAGCATGTGTGGATAGAAGGCAAGTTACCCTGAGGTATTATTGGCAGAAGTGCTGAGTATTCCCAGCTGCTGTTGAAGTCACTGAGAGCTGTGCTTTGAATGTGTACAGCACTATGTAATGCCAACTTCTCTGAAAAATCAGGCCCATTGCATCTCAAATAGGATACAAAACTAGCAGACAGTTTTAACCTTTAAATGCTCTGTGTCTCAGTTCCCCTTCTGTAAATAGGGATAATAATACCTCCATTCATCACAGATAAAAATAATTAATTAATGTATGCAAAGCAATCAGATACTTTAGTGATGAGTTCCATAGAAAAGCCCATGAGGAAAGTAATAATTCTGTCTTCAGAGCAGAGTTTGAATAGTGTGCAGTAAATAAGTCATAGGGCCATAGTTTGAACAATGAGGACAAAACAAAATATTGAATAGCTGCTCATTCGGTCAGCATTGCCCATCCTGTGCACTGAATGAAACAGGGGTCCAGTGGAAAAAATAGTATGTGACCAGGCAGTTAAAGACTATATGATAATACCTATGCCAACTCCCTCTTCCTCCTCTTTCCCTCCGTACAGTGGTGAAAACTGCTGAAAGGTAATGGGAATAGAGAAAGATTAAAACGTTAGTGAGATAGCTAAAAGAATGAGAAATTTGGATTCGGGAATGTGGAGGAGGAAGGAGAAAAGAGAGATTGTTGGAACAACAGAGAGACTGAAAAAGCATGATGGGAAGGACAGAGAGAAAATGTAGGGGAAGGAGGAGGAGGAGAGAAGGGAAGAGGGATTTCAATAACAGGCATTGAAAAAGCCAGAGGAGCAGGATAGGAGGTACACGAGAGGGAAAGGAAAGTGCAGTGAGGGACAGAAATGACCAGAATGTTACTAGAAGGTGTGTGTGTGCATGTATGCAAGCACACATGTGCCATGGAAATTGTACTCTCTGGAGATCACCCCTCTGCATTGGGTGCTGAATTGTAGAAAAATAGTACTTGGTCCGTGGCTGGACTTTGCTTTCCCTTGAGATACATAGTAGCTCATTGTTTTGCCAGCACAGTTGAGTCTTTGGGCCAGGCTGATCTGTTTTGTATTTTAGAATTCTAGTCAAATTATCTTTGTTCTTTTTCCCTCTTCCAGAGAATTCTTGCAACCGCAAACGTCTTGATCTCGTCTTCATCATCGACAGCTCGCGCAGTGTACGTCCTTACGACTTTGAAAAAGTGAAGGAATTCATTTTAACCATCTTGCAGTTCCTAGACATCAGTCCTGACATCACCAGAGTAGGCCTCATTCAGTATGGCAGCACAGTCAAACATGAGTTTTCATTGAAGACGTTCAGGAGGAAACATGATGTGGAACGAGCAGTGAAAAGAATGATGCACCTGGCCACTGGCACCATGACTGGGCTGGCTATTCAGTATGCACTGAACATTGCATTTTCAGAATCGGAAGGGGCACGGCCACTGAGCCAGAATGTGCCCAGAATTATCATGATAGTGACAGATGGGAGACCACAGGATCCCGTGGCAGAGGTTGCAGCTAAAGCCCGGAACTCAGGCATCCTGATTTTTGCCATTGGTGTGGGGAGAGTGGATATGAACACCTTGAAGTCCATTGGAAGTGAACCTCATGAAGAGCATGTCTTTTTGGTGGCTAATTTCAGTCAGATTGAAACGCTAACCTCTGCATTCCAGACTAAACTTTGCGGTAAGACAACTATTTGTGGATTTGAAAGCCTGGGTGAAAATATTCAGAGTAAAAAACAAACATGGAAAAAATCAAAGAAAAATTACCTAAGTTTTGTGGTGCAATATAAAAGCTAAGCAGAAAGCTAACTAAACTAGAAAACATTGGAGCTTAATTCATATAAAATGTATACACCAATAAAGGAAGTTTATCCAAAAGACACTCAGCATAGTAGACATATCTGGGAGGGAGAGAACCAATTCTGTTGTTGGACCTTTTAAAATGTGATTTAATTCCTAGTGGAAATATGCAACGAGTGAAATACACATACCCTTCTTTTACCATTTATTATTTATTTATTATTTTAGCAGAATTTACATCCTTTGCTACTTAAATGCCAGATAAGTAATTTGATTTATATTAATTTTTAAATATTTTTCATTTAGTACTGAACTTTAAATTTGTAAGCTTCATGGTTGTCAGATTCTGGGTACAGTCCAAACCAGTGAGGGGTTGTGTAATTGCCTGTCCTGTAATCCTGGGTGCCTTGAATAGCAATGCTGCTGTAGCTCCCTTCTCTGGACACTCCCAGCTATCTTACAAGCATGCACTGAGTGTCTGTGAGATACGTACCTCTGGGTCTGCAACTCTGACTCCAGCAGCCTGCTTGTTACACCCCAGTCTCACATTTGTATCCATCAGATTTTTGGTTACACCTTGCACGATGACCCCAACACCCCACAGTCCTGAATTTTCCCAAAACCACGGGCTCTGCAATGTGCAATCCTTTCCTGGACCAATCAGAGGTTTGTTTGCTCCACTAAAGGGACAAAATGCACAGTTTATCACTTTAACTGGAGTTAATAATCACTTCAATTCAAACAGCACTGAGTGGGTTTAGATTAAAAGTAAAAAGTTTATTACCAAAAGAAGAGAGAATTATAAATGAATTCAAGTACGAAGCATAGAGTTAGAAATGGTTACAAGCAAATAAAAGTGAAAAACACTTCCTAGAGATTAAGATTTAACAAATCTGTAGTCTTAGTTCAAGGTCAGATTCTTACCACACTGCCATCCAGCAAGACACATTACCACCCCTCTGGCCAGGATCTTCCATAAACTCCAGAGAGCTCTGTTCCTTTGAAAGGTAACTTGGGGTTCTTTGCCCCTCTCTTTTATAGTCCAGTGACCTTGTGAAATGGATTCTTCTGAAGGTTTCCCCCTGCCCCCTACACACACAAAGTAAGGTTAATTCAAGCTGTGGGGAAGGAGAAGTGGAATCTGGTGGTGAAGGAAGTTCCATGCTGGTTTCTTCCACCATTGGTGTTTGCAAAAATGCAAATGTTTCTGTTCCTCCCGCTGCAATGCAAATGAATCCTTGCCATGTGATTACCAAATGACTCTGATGACACCTGGCTGGAGGCATCAGCTTGTCTTTATCTTGGAGAAACCTGTTTACCCACTCCCTTCACATTTGTATGGTTCCTTGGGCATTTACAGTACATACACCAGGCAAGAATATTACTGATCAGCATTACTAGTTTTCCAGTGACACGTTACATGACACATATCAGATACAGTTTATGACCTTTATGAACTGGGGTATGCCGAACTGGTCATGCCATTTGAAGCTTACTGCCAGATACCAATGAGCCCCTTGCCCTCTTGCACTGGGCTGCTGTTAGGGTCACAATGATCTCTTGGCTATAATCAAAATACAGAGTTCAGGCAGTATATATAGAACCCTTCCAAATCCTTAAATATTGACAGTGTGCAAAGAAATATCTTTGCACGTGCCTTGATATTAGAAATGAGACATGAAAACTAAGTAGTACTTTTGTTCCATCTGCAGTCCTTTTTGTGTACAAAAACTTATGAACAGCCATTACTGCCGTATTGTTCATTCATGCAATAAAGTTAAAAGTAATCTTTGCTAATGTACACTACTTTGCAATAGGCAAATGGCTTCTGTGATCCTTCCTGGGGGTAACCAGGGTTGTGAGGCACCTCCTTAAAACCTGCCCTTAGCGTGAGAAGTCTTGTCTGTGTCTGCCAGGGGGAAAAGGGAAATAAAAACAACCCAGAAAACTACAGACCAGTTAGTTTAACTTCTGTGCCAGGGAAGATAATGGAGCAAATAATTAAGGAAATCCTCTGCGAACACTTGGAAGGTGGTAAGGTGATAGGGAATAGCCAGCATGGATTTGTAAAGAACAAATCATGTCAAGCCAATCTGATAGCTTTCTTTAATAGGATGAAGAGTCTTGTGGATAAGGGAGAAGCGGTGGATGTGGTATACCTAGACTTTAATAAGGCATTTGATACGGTCTCGCATGATATTCTTATCGATAAACTAGGCAAATACAATTTAGATGGGGCTACTATAAGGTGGGTGTATAACTGGCTGGATAACCGTACTCAGAGGGTAATTATTAATGGTTCCCAATTCTGCTGGAAAGGCATAACGAGTGGGGTTCCGCAGGGGTCTGTTTTGGGACCGGCTCTGTTCAATATCTTCATTAACGACTTAGATATTGGCATAGAAAGTACGCTTATTAAGTTTGCAGATGATACCAAACTGGGAGGGATTACAACTGCTTTGGAGGATAGCGTCAAAATTCAAAATGATCTGGACAAATTGGAGAAATGGTCTGAGGTAAACAGGATGACGTTTAATAAAGACAAATGCAAAGTACTTCACTTAGGAAGGAACAATAGTTTCATACATACAGAATGGGAAGAGACTGTCTAGGAAGGAGTATGGCAGAAAGGGATCTAGGGGTTATAGTGAACCACAAGCTAAATATGAGTCAACAGTGTGATGCTGTTGCAAAAAAAGCAAACATGATTCTGGGATGCATTAACAGGTGTGTTGTGAGCAAGACACGAGAAGTCACTCTTCCACTCTACTCTGCGCTGGTTAGGCCTCAACTGGAGTATTGTGTCCAGTTCTGGGCACCGCATTTCAAGAAAGATGTGGAGAAATTGGAGAGGGTCCAGAGAAGAATGATTAAAGGTCTAGAGAACATGACCTATGAAGGAAGGCTGAAAGAACTGGGTTTGTTTAGTTTGGAAAAGAGAAGACTGAGAGGGGACATGATAGCAGTCTTCAGGTATCTAAAAGGGTGTCATAAGGAGGTGGGAGAAAACTTGTTCATCTTAGCCTCTAAGGATAGAGCAAGAAGTAATGGGCTTAAATTGCAGCAAGGGAGGTTTAGGTTGGACATTAGGAAAAAGTTCCTAGCTGTCAGGGTGGTTAAACACTGGAATAAATTGCCTGGGGAGGTTGTGGAATCTCCATCTCTGGAGATATTTAAGAGTAGGTTAGATAAATGTCTGTCAGGGATGGTCTAGACAGTATTTGGTCCTGCCATGAGGGCAGGGGATTGGACTCTAGGACTGGAAGGGACCTCAAGAGGTCATAGAGTCTATGAATCTCCCCAACTCCATCAGCCACAGGCCAAACAAGCATTCCCTTCTCAGCTCATGCAGGCTTCACAGTCCCTCTGCAGGTAAGCAATAGGTACACTCCAAACCCCAAGCACTCTGAGCGTCCCCCTGAATGTCCAGCCCCTGTGCCACTAGACAGTCACAACATTCACACATCTGCTACTCCCAAAGGAATATTCACACTAGCATATCAGTTTCACCTCCGCATCATGGCTCCACTCAACTCACAGCACTTAGATTTGTTTATACTGAATTTATTTAACAAAGAACAGAGATTCAAGAAGAAGCAAACAGATTTAATAGACACAAATAAAATCATGCTTTCTAGAGCCTGAACTTAACTAACAAGTCATCCTCCTGTCTCATTAAGGATAGCTTGCCCAAAGTTTCTCTGCCAGGGTTAAACAGTCAGACTGGCTGTGATCCTCCATTCATAAGACAGCTGGCAGCCTGCTCCCAGAGCCTGCCCTTGCTGCAGTCCCAGATATAGTTCATGATGATCCATTGTCTTCAGTTGTAAACAGGGTAACCCCTGCTGCTTGTTTGTTCCTGTAGAGAATCTCCCCCTGTAATATCTTGATTAGCATTTTGTGCACTTGAGTAGTGTTTTGCTCAGGCTGTAAATAGGCGTTCATTGTGAATTATACAATATCCAATTTACACATAGCCGGACAGGTGGATAAGCATGTCCTGCCTGAACAAAACTTGTTTATCACGTTCTGGTGACCAGTCCCAATTCAGACCCAAACTTTTATATATATATATATATATATACACAGAGAGAGAGAGAGATAACATAACATATTATCCCTACATACATTTCTCAATGATTAGGATGATCAGTGATGCAGGCTTTCAATAGACACCTTACATGACACCCGTTGATAAACTATTCTGTAGACCAAAGGGATCCATGTAACCCTATGCAGCCCTGTTCCTTCTGCTAATGGGCACCAAAAGGTCCCTTGGTCACAGTTTTTTATCAGGTAATTACGTATTTAGGCAGGTTTTTAAAAAGTCCTATGACATACCTAATATATTAAGATTATCTGCAGAAGATCTGTTCTAATCCATATGTTAAAATACGTTTTTCTATTTTACTTTACCCTGATGCATAGAGACTGCTTTGGAAGATGTTAATACAAATTAGTGTGTTCAGAATTGTATGGAACCCACGTCCAAGTAGATATGCATCTGCCTCACGTGAGCCATCACAATTTGTTGTTCTTGCTGGCATTCTCAGGAGAGACTGAATGGATGGGGAGACCAAAATGCCCTCTCACATCTAGAAGTGATCCCCCCAGAATAGGGGTGATGCATATGGGTAGGGCAGTGTGGAGAAGCTACTATTTCCAGGACCACTCCAGATTGTAACATCACTGCTTCCACTGGAGTCCTGTTACAACCTACTGACAGTGAAATTCATCAGATAATATATTTGACAATTTTTTTCTGCTATATTATCAGCCATGGTAGGGAGTTTCATTAAAATAAATAAATAAAAAGTGAATTGACAACCTTAAATTTAAACAGAGTGAACATTAAATAGTACACAACTGTTTTTTTTTTAA